GGGAGCGCCTGCTGTGCCAGTGGCCATTAAAGCAGCTGCTGCTGTGCTGGCCATGCAGAGAGAGAGCTGCAGCTGCTGGCTGTGCTCCCTACCAAAGCAGCCTGCTGCCAGAGGTGGGAATTCTCCCCCTCTGCCCACACCCAAGCATTAGCGCACACACACCTCTTTTGCATATGTGTATTTATGCACAGCTTTCCAAATCTTAATTTTGCCTGAGCCAAGTCTAACTGACTTTAACCACACCCAGGGAGTTTCCTGCAGGCTTTGAAAATGGCTGGATGTAAATGGGATAAAATTGCTTCTGTTTCAATTATAAGAATTACTTCAAACCAGGCAAAGCTGGTGAATTTAAAGCTGTGGTGCTGAGAGTAACACTGGGAAATGTGCAGGTAAAGTAACTGTTTAGTATTATACTCAAATATATCTCAACTAAGGAGCAATTGTTATAAAAAACAGAATCTTCCCACCCCAATTTTACATAGCAGCAAAAATCAATTTAAACTTTAACCTCCTTTCCTCCCTCTAAAGCAAGTGGCAGTTTTGTGTTGGTTTTTTTTAACCTTGAATATATTTCATAATAATGCTGAGCAAGGAATTAGATATTTAGCATGAATTACTGGTTGTTGGCAATAAACTTGCCTGTTGCAGAGAGGCACGAATTCCTCTGGTAAAATCTTAGCAACAAAGGACTTGATGGAAAAAAAGTTCCTACTAACTTACATGTGGCCAAGATTTCACCCTTGATCTGTAGGTGGAATGCAAAAAACGTTGCCTCCGAAGCCACAGATGTGGTTATCGGTTACAGCACGCTGCCTTCTCTCCTGCCCGGGCACAGCATCCTCTGTAACATGTAGGATGTGTAGAGCTGGGGAGAGCCTTCTCTAAAGTCATGAAGGGTTTTTTTCACATTGGAAAAATAAGTTGTTTTGGAGCTTGATAATGAGTAAGAGTGGATTAGAAATGGGAAGGAAATGGCTTTATCACTTGTGAAACATTTCAAAGTACAAAAAGAAACCAACCACATATCTCCTTTGGAGTGAAGCCAAGAGTTTTTCACTGCTTTCTATGGAAAAAAGAAAAAGTGAACACCCACCCCAAAATAGCCAGCAATCGAACGGTCAGGGAACATGTGTGGGCTGAAGCAGCCAGCCTTTGGCTATGAACCGAGAAACACATCTGATGGACAGACTAGTGTGCCACCCCACCTCCTTCGCCCAGGAAAAACCCTCCCTCAGACAATTCTCAGCCACATCAACTGGTAGTCAACATTTTGTTAACCACCGAGAAGCTAATCCTATTACATTGTGAGTAACCCTTACAGGATCCAGTTCAGAGATGAAGTTATTCTAACTTGTAACTCATTATCTAGACACAAACCAAGTAGTAAGCTCTCAGAGAATTCTCTTAATTGCTTATCTTTGAAGCCCAGTTATTTTTCTGTGTTCCAGTTTGTTCCCACTAAGGACTTCCATGAAAAAATACTAGCCGTGGCTATTGATCTGATTGACTATTAAAATTTCTTCTTAATTTGACTGTTTGTCTTTTCTAGAACATCAGAGGATGGAAGCAGGCTCTCTTTAATTATTTATTGATTTGCTTTTTGCCTTCCTTTCCTGTGCTAAGAATGTGGTCTTTAATGAATGAGCCTAAAATTGCTTCCGTTTGGTTTTTCTGTGTGACACAATTTCAGATGCCAGGTTAGTTTAGTTTATTGGTTTTGACACTCTTGTCTTATTGCATCCTTTTTATTTTGACTTATTAAAAGCCTATAAAATATGCATGGTGCACACAAAATAGACTCATGTGACAATTACTGAATGAAATTCAAGATTTATGCCTTATTCCCAAGGCTGAAACAAGGATATTTGTAAGAGCATTTGAAGCTCTAGGAAGAGGACTGTAGAGGACAGCTGTTTTCAGATATGGTGGATGTATATGCTGCACAGGGCAAGTCCATCTGTGCAAGCAGTTAAAACTTTCTTCGTGGCCTCAGGTGAAGTCTGTGGCATAAAGTCCTACAGCATCTAAGGGTAGCCTGGATGCTTACTGTTATATGTTGCATGTTAGTGCCCGTTCTCCAACCTGCTTTCAATAATAAAATGAAATTTCTGGTAACTCTGTCTTTATGAAGCTGCAAAGAGTGATCCTGGCTTTTAAAACTTATAATTAATATAATTCGCTTGAGTGAAAATATCCATCCTATACAAGGGATTCCTCACAAACTTAGAGCTTTTCACAGCCTGTAAATTTTCTTTTGGTTTAAACCTGCAAGGATAAATTTCAGAAATATTTGTAGTACGTTTTTCAGTGCAGTAGTTTGGTTTGTTTAGTAGTGGAGAGTAAAAATGACAGGTAAGTGAACAGAATTCTGCCAAAAACTCAACTAAACTGCCAATTACTTCTAATCGTGTAAGTTTTGTTTTGCAGAAGTTACTGTTTTGTTACAGAAATTTGGGGCAAGAATGATTTCATTTGTGTTCTTTACAGTGCCAGGCACGTTATCGTGGCTTTTGGCTGGATTTCACCAGGCTTCTGTTAACACTGACCCACCCCTTTCTCTGCAAGCAGCCCCATCAAAATCAACAATTTCATGTGTCTAGGAACTAGCAATTCTGGTACTTGACAAATTATAATTATTGTAGCCATTAATAAGAAAAAAGGTGTGAGCAAACACAAGAGGGATACAAGGGGGGAAGTGTTTACAACTTTCAGTGTTGATTTTTCAAGTGTTTAGATTGAAGAAGAGGAAAGTGCAGCTTAATGAAATTATATACTGTGCAGTTCCAGAAAAGTGTTTTAATTTTTGTTAGACAAATCTGCAAACATATTCTACTGACCATAATCTGAAAACTGTTTCTCTTAGTTCTACTTTGCAGTCATTTCTTTTCATTGTGTACAATAAATGTAATGATCTTTTCTTATGGACTGATTCATTGGTAAGTGTAAGAAAGGCTAGATTGTTCTTTTAATTAACATTCAGAGCAGGCAAAGAAGGGTGGATGAAAGTTGCGTCTATGGCTGGGTAAATAGTAGTAAGTGCGGTCATTTGCCTGTTTAGTGCTCAAGGGCAATACATAGAAATCCTTTCATTGATTCAATTTACCAGAAGATTTAAAGGCAAGAGAATAATTTGAAATTTTATGGACTGTGTAATAACTGAGGTTTATGTTGCATTTTCCTGCAGTGAAGGTGAGAATTCAGAGATAAAGTAATCCTTAACATTTTCCTTGAGCCTTGAAATTTTAAACTCTTCAAAGGTTAAGGCAGACTTCTAGCTTAATATAGTGAATTACACTGAAGAAAAACAGCTAGTGGTGGGCTCGATCTGTATGATGCCTCCAAATAGGAAAATGTCTTGAGAAAATACAGTTATTTTGATACATAATTGAGAAAATACAAATAATTTAAGAAGAATTGTCTTGTGTATGTTTATTTTTCATGTTTGTTCTGGATTATGCTATTCTGATAGCTTTGTGTTTGGTGCGTTGTGTCCCTGTAGCAGACTCAGGGAACGGAGGTGCCTTGGCTGGCAGTGGTGCTGTGTCCAGCACCCATCTGCCCTGGCAGCCAGACCAGGAGGGACGGCTCGTGTCCGTGCTCCTGACCTGACTGCAGAGCAGGTAGCCAGCATTATATTTAGATCATGTTCTTGCCAACACAGGGTTGAAATCCTTCTGCTCCAGGGGAGTTTGCCCTAAACTAGCCTCCAGCGTTGCGGTAAGGGCGAAAGATGCGTAGTTTGAATACTGAACTGCGTGAGCATAATCATCTGCAGGGGTTTCCTGGAAAGATAATCCAGCCTGGCTCTGCCATTCAGCCAAAGGGAAACATGCTGACTCTGTATGAGTCAGGGTGGGGTTTTTTGGCGAGAGGGAGAACGTTGTTTCCGCAAAAGCTGTATAGCCATCCTGTGGCTAACATCGTATCTGGGAGGCAGAGTGTGTTAGCAGGGTTTTGCAGGCTTTGTGCATTTAAACAGAACGCTTATCCTACCAATCAGAATGTTTAGTGTTATTTTATAGACATCGGTACTTAATGATGATTAGGCAAAAATATTTCTGCTGCTGTTAAGATTTGTTGCTGATCTCAGTGCAGATCCTTTTTTTTACTTAATTACGATTGCAGTAAAATTTCAAGTGATTCAGTAAAATTGCAGGCTCGTGTTAGGATGTGGATGTATGATCTAGAACTGTCTTGCGATCAATTAAACAAATTTTGAGTTTTAAACCACCATAGTGAAGGTTATAAATAATTTTTTTTTTGCTTCATCGCATGACCAAAAGCAACCTTCAGGAAGGATGTTTGAACTAAGGTGTAACAGCAAGTCTCCTGGTCGGGGCGAAGCAACACTTCCATGTCAGCGAGAGATTTCGGGGCCAGTGAAACTTCAAAATTGGTCACAGTTCTAGTTCATGCTTATTAAAACTACACATAATGCTCTCTGTCATACTAGATGAACAAACCTGAATCTTAATTGTAACTCTAAAAGGCAGTGATAAGGTGAGCTAAAAGGAAATGCCTATGGTAATGCCTGTACATGCAAAGCTAATAAACATACTGCTACCTATAATTTCCCAGGATGCATTTCACAATTATCTGTTGCCAGGGACACTGAAAGCACCTGGAGGAGCAAAGTGAAATATCTGATAAATGTATAAATAAACCACTCTGATTTTCAGAAGTAATGAAGACCCTAGCTGCACATCAGGGCACTAGTTGTTTTTACAGTCTAGAGAGAGTAAAGCTTATTTTGATAACCTTACTTTTCATAGTGTTAAGAAATAGCAATATATGGTAATACTATTATCTTTGTCATGCTTTCCTCCGTTAAATGAGAATTACATTATCTTATATATAACATTATGTTTTTATTCATTTTAGACAAGCTGTATATGGGACCAGGGCAACTGTACCATGATCTGCAGAACCTTTTACATGACTTGAATGTAGTTGGTCAAATTAGTCAATTAATATGCAGCCTTAAAGGAAACTATCAGGTAATAAACAAAGCTGGATTTATTTTTCAAATATGCTCCTTTTGTAAAGTAGCATAATTGTCTCTCCCTAGGATCTGTGGAAGACATTATTTAGCTCTCTCTGTAAAGAGAATTAAGTTTTTTTTAACTGTAGTAATTAATTTACTGTTAAATGTTTAGAGTTATAAGTAGATTACAGCTGTCTTTTTAATCTTGTTTTTCTTTATTGTTTTTAAGTGTAGGTGGATACTACAAGTGTCTGCATTTGCTCAGTAGGTTATAAGCTTATATGGAAACAGAATTACATTTTGATCTTAAGAAATTGGATTCTTGCAGTTAGACAAGGTAGTAGGAGGATGGTTGGTTGGAGGAAGCCCTTGATGCTCATCTGAGCTCATAATCCTGGCTTTTGGGGGAGCTGTACTTAAAACTGAGTGCAAATCACAAAAATATAAATGGACTTTCAGAGGAATTTTGAAAGTAATTTGCTTCGGCTTTGTTCACATCCCTTTAATTTATATTCTGGCACACAGGTATGGTATGTTAACACTGTTAATTTCAGAATGAGTTCTCCACAGTCTTAAGACTTAAAAATTGCTTTTTTGCCTTTTGTTTTATATGCTTCATGTATGCTTAGGCACAATTTTTAACTCCTACCTGCCACCATAGGCTGTATATATGTGTGTGTGTCTGTGAATACGTATATGAAAGCTGAGTTTCTCTTGGGATATTTTGCCTTCAGAGTCAAGGGCATTAAATAAAACATAACATTTTGTGAAAAAATGTACTTTGAAGGAAGTTTATGGAAACAATACTTTTGGATAAAATTTCACAAATATTTGAAGGTGAATTTTCAGCTGCATTTTTGGGAATATGTATAGCACAGATACCATAAGACATTCACCCATTAAGATATCCAAAACCTTTCTGCCTGTATTGCCAGTCAGAACCAACTGTGTTTTGAAAACTTAAAATTCAGTCAATGTTTCCAGGTTGAGATGGGTAAGATCATTAGAACAGTTTAGTTGAGGAATGAGGTCAGATTCTCTATTTTTGAAAAAGACTTCAATTTTCATAAAATTCTAACTGTGGAAAATTAGTGTACTTTTTTGTGTGAATAGCGCATTACTAGTGATGCTTTAAGTGTTGCTCAGGTGTGCTTTTACCCTCTGTGACCACTCAGCTTCCAGAGTGTTATTGTTTCAGCATTCTACTTCAACAGATTCCAGCCACACAGACAGCTTTCATGATGGCTCTGTAAACGTTTTGGCTCAAAGATTTGAAGAAAAACATACTGACAGTATGATTTGTAGATGTTTTCATGAGATTTTCTTTAGAAACAGAACTTGTGGGTTCTATATAACTACTCGTTGAAATTAAGTAAAAGGGTTTTGCCTACACCTGATGCAAATTTACATTTCTTAATCTGACAAATGCTTGGGAATGTCATTTGTGTGCCGTCAAACTCTGAGCAATGAGAGATTAAATCATCAGATAAAATTTTAGCAAAAATTTTACAGATATTTTTGAAACGTGTTTACAATTATGGCTAAATTATCTGTGATTATAGTGTGGACTAAATGGGGCCCAGGTGCCAGGAATTGTTATGTGCAGAGATCACCTTAATTAGCCTGTGGGAAATAGGCCAGTGGGCTGGCATTGAATCTTAGCTTTTTTAATTTTTCAGAACTTAAACCAATCTGTAGCCCATGACTGGACTTCAGGTTTACAAAAACTGATTTTGAAAAAAGAAGATGAAATCAGAGCGGCAGATCGCTGTAGAATTCAGCTGCAACTCCCAGGAAAACAGGACAAGTCAGTAGTAATCTTGATTACAAAACTTTCTAAATGGGCTTATCTATTAGGCATAGATGTATGAGGGAGGACACGGGAATCTGTAGCTCTTCCCTCTCTTCTGTCTCTGCAGTTAGCCTCTGACTTCTGCTCTCATCCCACAGTGCTGGGAACTTGCATGTTCTAGGGCAGCATTGTAGTATTTCTCCTGCTCCTCAGCCCTGGGTTCCAGATGCAAGAAGCAAGACAGGAACTGTGCCAGTGGCAGCGAACAGGGAACAGCCACTGTTACATTCCTTCACCACGGAGGGTGGTCTTCTCTTACCATGTCATGTAAAGTGTAGGAAGATGGGCAGATGGCATATCACAGCCTGCATGCTTATACCAGAGAGCTGTGTCTTTGTCTAAGTATTAGAAAATAATGAAATTTCATTGTGCTCAACATCTCTAGCTTGACTGTATCTCATACTCGGTGCATTTAGAGTGGCTTATTTTTTGCCTTGCAGGTCTGGGCGGCCCACTTTCTTTACAGCTGTGTTCAATACATTTACACCTGCCGTCAAACAGTCTTGGATCAACAATTTACAAATGGCTAAACTGGCCCTTGGTAATTCTTAGTTACTTAAATTTCCTATCAAGTTAAGATAGGTCTCAATGTACAGTGTAATGTTTTTATTTTTTAGAAAATGTATTTTATTGCGAACATCTGTCTGCAGATGTTAAAATTGCAATAGAGTAAATAGTAGTGATGTGTATCACGACATAGTAATGATGTTATAGATAGGATGGGGGTTTCATTATGAAGGAATATAGTTTCTACAGTATTTTAATGAAATTCATAATCATCACTAATTGTTACATCTAAATCAAAATGAATGAGATACACTGCAAGACACACAGGTGAGGAAGCTACTCCATTAGAAACTTATTTATTCAGAGCTTAGAAACTTTTCAAACTTACGCCTTTCAGGTTCAAACTTCTCAGTTTTAGCTTAAGAATGATTTTAGCTAGGAGATACTAGTAAAGCTGTTGAGTTAATTTGTTTAACTTTCTGAGCATGAAATAAACTTATGGGTGTTATTTTAATATAATGCAGTACTTCTATACTGGATATGTAAAACTCAAGTTTTTTGGGGGAGTTGGGTGTTGTTTTTTTTTTTTTTAGCATAAATCTGTAGTCTTCACTGGAGGGATTATCACAAACAAACCTGATCTAGGTAGGAGCAATAAAGAATGTGCTCTCCTGTGATGTTTTTAGTCTCCTGTGTTTCCACAGGAGGCATAGACTTCAAAAGGTAAATGATTTTAGGGATTTTGAATGCCTAAGTGGAGAAACGTTGAGGATATGCACTTGCTAGAAAGCATGCTCAAAAAGCAGTGCTTTTATGGTATCTCACTGAAGGCAGGCAAAACACCAGAAACGTAAGAATGGCAAATGGATGTCTCCATCATTCCAGGAGTATCCTTGTAATTATGGTAGTGATAGTAGTTGGTAGTGATGTCACTTAGACTGGCAGAGAAATGCTGTTTGCAAACCAGATTTCCTAGAACCTGAGGAGTGGTTTGATAGCACTCTAATGCAAATGTGCCTTTTCCCCTTTTAATAACCTACTGACAAGATCATTAAGAGAACACACTTAACATTTTGCTAGTGTTACATCTTCTTTTTTTGCATTATCAATATGTACGTGATCTACTATATTGAATTTTTGCTCATAGTGTTAAGCTGTCATTTATTCCTACAAAAGCATATATGGTATGAGAACAGCCTGACCAGTATTAACCAGTCCTAACAAGATTATTTTCTATTCCTGTAGAGAGTTGTAAGTGATTATTCAGTGAAAGTATTGTGGGATGTTTATTGTTTGTTCTTTCTGTTACAGCGGAGGATAACCTATTAGGTTGGTTCTGTGTAGAAGATGATGGGAATCAAATCAAAAAGGAGAAACATCCTCTCCTTGTTAGACACATGCCAGTGATGATGGCCAAGCAACAGGAGTTTAAGGTGAACAGAATTATTATACAAAATTAAAATTACTTTTGTGTGTGATATAACTGCTAAAAAGTACCTCATTGTAAATGCATCTATTAGTTCACATCTAATAGTTCTCTAGAGTTGCTACCTTGGTGTAAGACCAGTAGCAATGGGAGGTCCAAGAGGGTCACAGGAATGCAAAATACCTGCAACCTTTGAGGCACTAAGGAACATGGTGTTTACTTTTGTGTAGCATGACATTCACTTTCAGAGTAAGCTCATCACTCAGTGAAAACCGAAGTGCTGGGAATTTTGAATTGGTCTTGAGGTTTCCAAGTGTTTGAGGTTCCAAAGTAACTTGCAGCTTACAAAGTGCAGGAATCTGATCTCCATGATCTCTGTCCTGTGCTGGTGTAATTATGTTGAGTCCTGCTTAAATTTCTGATTTTCATTATTGGACAGAGAGCAATAGTTTAAAAATAATTTTTAAAATTCTGTTTTATGGGGTAGTATATAAAATGTAGTTCTGTTTTGAACAATGATACAGAAGTCATCTTAATGGCTCATTTTCTAAAGTAATGTGTTTGAAGTGTCATTGACCACTGGCTTTAATGATGAAAACAAGTATGGCATGTCCAGACCAACAGATGGAAGGGGTGAAGGGTGCTGGATACTATGTTTTCCCATGCATCAACAAGAGTTCTTATTGACCATCAGTTTGTTAGGCTTCTGCAAAAACACTAACAGAACTAAAATTATATAATGTTCACTAACATCATCGCATGGGTATTGCTTAAAGTCTAAGTCTGCAGACCCTCATTGCTAGGACAGTCTACACAGAAGGGGGGTTCAGCTGGCACCTTCACTTCAAGTGTGACTGTGTACAGGCCTGGATGTTGGGGGAGAATAATTGCTGGCTGGAAGTGCATTTGAAATGTGTAATGGTGTTAAATTGAGTCATTTCTATGATACTGAATTTCAAAGCAGAGCTGTGGTTTACAGCAGCCGAAGTCTACTGAAAGTCTCCTGTACATACATAGTCATTCTTGTCTTGTTAAATAGTCAGCTTTTTCTTTATTGAATACCTTCTAAAGCCACCACTGGTGAAATAACCATGCTAATTTAATTTTTTGCAGAAACTTAAAATATTTATATTTTCCTAGAGCCTATGCATTTTTAAGTCCTGTAGGTCCACGCCAGGAGCCTTGAAGGCTCAGGCTCAACTCCCGTAATCAAGTTGCTTTGAAAGGAAAGTCTGTTGCCCATGCAGTTGGGTGATGGTCTTTGCCTTGATCACCTCAGGAGAAGACAGCATGTGGCAGTGTTTGCTTCAGCTCTGAGTCAACTTTGCCAGTTTAGCAGCTCCTGAAAATAAGATGTGGGTGTGTGCCTGATGCTCCTAAGTTCCCGATACTACTGGAAAAGATAATCTGAGCATTATTGCAGGCTTTGCACAGCCTCAGCTGCAGTTTGAGTGTCATGTCACACTTGGGGTTGGAAAAGAGCCTTTGCTTGGCTGATCCTGCTTGTTATCTCTCCGTGTGCTGCTCTGGCTGCCCAGTGGTGCAGGGAGCCTGTAACAACTTCTTCCATCAGAGCATGTTTACACCCCAGGCAAAGAGCTTCTGTCAAGATTGAGAGCTAAACTACCAGGGAAACTACTATGGAAATTCATCATTGGTTTTGAGGAAGATGTAGCACAGAGATGTAAGCAGCAGCCTGAGAAATATCCAGCATGCAGGCTGTCTTCTTTCACTAGTGATGTATTTAGCTGTCACAGCTACTGTAAGTCACCACTACAAGTAGATAGTTTCAGCATGTGTTAAATGAGACATGCTAAGACTGGCATGGATAGCTCTTGTTCTTTTTTTTTTTTTTTTTCCTCATTGGTTTCCATCTTTTATCCTCATAGTGAATTGCTTTGGTGAATACATAACATTGTTTTTACTACTGCTAATCACTTGGTAATGCCTGCTGACTTCAGGGAGATTTGTGAAGTTCTTAGCACTTTTGAAAATTAAGTAAACTGGGAATTTAGAACTCTAACTTACACCTACTTGTTTCCTTTTTTTTTTTTTGTAATTACTCACTGCTGGGAGGTGATGTTGCCAAGTTATGGTGAAGTTGTCTAAGTTAATACTAAATTGTCTGCAGTACTACAATATAATCACAATGACATTGATGTCTTAGAGACAAGAATATTAGTGTGGACTATAGAGACTCTTGTCTAAAAATGTAGTGTCACACCTCATCGGGAACCTTTTTGTTCTCTACACGGTTGTGAATTGCTTGTATATGTTTTAAAGTGTTTATATAAACTTTAGGGAGCTCTGCCATGGATATTAGGGAAATTAGGAATCCATGTCTGCTCATAAAATTGCCTATTTTCAGAGCCTTGTTGCTTGAGTGATTTTCAGAGTTGAGATGAACTTAAATATAGATCTTGAGTCTGGTGTAGCTTCCAGGTTTTTCTTAAATTGCCTGCATGATAAAATCATGAGTATGGTTCTTAATTTATGGACAGTAAGCATGATGACATGAAGTTTGGAGGAAGTAGGAATATCATTAGCATTCAAAATGAGTAAAGCACCTGGAGAAATAATTTGAGGGGGAGAAAAAAGGGACGACAGTCAGTAGGACAGACACATGGTATGCTCAGGCAGAAATAAAGAGCTTCACAAGTACAGATCGAGAAGGTGGCTGAGTAGAAAGGCTGTAAAAGTAATTTTTAATAGACCAACAAGCTAAGGATTGGTTAAGAATGTAATATTATTACAAAGAGCAAATAATCAATAGGATGTGTACAAACTGGCTTCAGAGCTGCTAACAGCTCTGCTAGAATAGTGTGTTCAGGTGAGGAAGTTCTGCACTCTCAAGTATATGGAGCTGATATATCTGCTGGAGAGATGCCAGTTGGAAAAGTGATAATAATCAAGGATTTAAAAAACAAGAATAAAAAGAAATATATTTTTAAATTTTTAAATTTAATCAAGTGCTAGTGTTAATTTAGCCTAATGAAGAGGAGACTCAGACAGGCTCATGACATATGTAAAAGAACACTGCAGAAGAGAAGGAAGTACCTGGTGGCTGAAATGAGAAGCAACAACCTAACAATTACAGTGAGGATGCTGTTAGGTTGAGTATTTGGAAAAACTTAAAGGTTATGAAGCATTTGAGCAGATCAGGTAGAGAATTTGTAGTCTTTGGCTTTAATGTCTGTAAGAGTAGATAAGGAATGTGTCAGGAACATATGTGCAGCTGACCGTGCCCACAGGAACGGTGATTCTTTGATATCCTTAAATGCTTTAGTTAATTACAGACTAAATTAGGCAGAAACAGGTATATCTTTTTAATGTGGTAACTATTCTCTTTTTCTTTGTTTGCAGATTGAATGTGCTGCTTATAATCCTGAACCGTACCTCTCTGGTGAAACAGAGTCAGATTCCTGTGCCATGGAACATGGTTTTCTTTGGGTAAGTGTGATCTTTAAAAGCTAAAAATGGGATTGTATCCTGTTTCCTTGCATTGTTTTTTGTGACTCTCAGCAGCATATGGGTCTGAAATTAATTTTGGGTTGGTTTTGTTTGTTTGAAGATGGACTTCTATAAAGGATAGCTAGTAATTTTGTCCATGTGATCTTGCTGTTCTCTGTAGGGTGTCAGTTGTGTGTGTGTGATTTGTTAGTGTGGCACAAAATGAATTCCAAAGTGCTGAGCAAATTCAGAAGTGAGTTATGTGCTAATTTATAATGAGGGCTGTTAAAACCCATATGAGCTTACGCTGTCCTGTTGTCTGTTTCCATATTTTAAAAATGTTTTAGCCATGAATAATCTGTTTAGGCCTATACATAGGGGAAAAAAAATATTCTGATTTATTCTTATGACCCCTTATGCAGCTATTCTAGCAGACAATGTGAGATAGCCAATACTTTTTTTTTTTAAAAAAAAAGCTAATCATTTCAGTAGCTTTTCTTGTTACTACAATACTGAAATTTTAAGGGAACCCTTATGAATTAAAAATAGAAGTTAGGAATAGCTTTTGTCAGTGATCTTTTTCAAGGTGACCCATATAATTTCTCTTCCCAGATCCCTAAAATGTACAGATTTGTGGACATATTGATGATACTTAGGTCTGGATCAGGGAGAAGTTTAGGATCCTGTATCAGCAAGTTTACAAAAGGGATTATATTAATAATTATAAAGGACAGGCTATATTACCTTTTTTAAGAGAATCTGAGATAACTTAGAACACTAGTTATTAAAATAATATATTACACAGGTATTTGCTGTATTTGCATTACATTGTGTATATAGATACGAGTCAGACATCAGAATAGGACATAATCCTCCTTTCAAAAAACAAAGAAATGTTTTTTGTGAGTATACAAGGGAATTTCATGTATATAATGTTTTGAAATCTCTTGTATTTGTGCTGAATTACTTTCTCATTTATGTTTTAATGCATGAAAACTCATATTCACGCATATAACTTGAGATGAACTCTTCAAGTAACTTTACAGTCATTCCTTTTTGTTACTGCAGATCTTCCTGGAGACAGGTATCAGTCTTGGTCTTTTTTTTTTTTTTTTTCTTTCCTCTTTCCAATTCAGATTGGCAGTTGTACTAATCAGATGGGCCAGATTGCAATAGTCTCATTTCAAAGCTCCGGCCCCAAGGTTATTGAATGTTTCAATGTGGAATCACGGATTCTCTGCATGGTCTACATACCAGAGGAGGAGAAACTGAAAGAGCTAAATAAGCCTCTCGACTCTGAAAATGTTCTTGCAAAAGCTTCTAGTGTGCCTACTATTTGCCTTGGCATGGAAGAAGGAAGGTGATTCTTGCTTTTAGTGTACTGTGTTATGATTTATTCATTAAGTTTACTATTCTACAGCAAAATTGTGTGAGATAATTCCAAGAAAATGTATTCTTTTTTCAAAAAAGTATCCCTGAATACCTTGTGACCTCAACTTACCCTTTCTACCTAAATCAAGGAAAAAATGCACTCTACATGGTTTTAAAATATACTATGTAGTATTTGAAATTAAAATAATATATATCTTTGATGAAAGAGGATTAATTTATCATACATCATGTCTGAAAAATGTACATATCACTTTTGTAGTGTTACAGCATAATCTTTAGGTATTGGAAAATTTTCAGAATGACAAAGTGTTAAATGAGGAACCCATTAACCTTCTACACTTTGATACTGTGCGGGATTTGTCACGTGAATAAATAATATTGCTGTTTACTGTTGACTTGACTTATTTTTCTGTGTTTGAATTGATGACCCTACTGAGTCATCACATGATTTATATTGAAGAACAAAGCTACATTTTTCTAAACTTACAGGTCAGTAAGCAAACAGATCTTGCTATCAGTAGTGAGGGTCTAAGTATGTGACTACATGTGATTTTTTTGAAGGTGTTTCTAACAAGTACAAATAAAGGAGAATAAATTTCTCCAAAGAATATGCTATATTTTCAGAAATTCCAACATCTAATTGTACTGATTATCTTTGGTGAAATGCAATTAATTCTAGATTTAATTATTCAGTATTCCTAACATACCCATGGTAATAATCTGTAGAAACGATGGGAATTTTAAGTGTAATTGGTGTCTGGTAGTGAGTTTTTCTTCTCTTTTCCTTAGTTCTTCAGATAATACTTAATCCATATTTTTTTTTAAACTAATAGAAAGTTTCGGATAGACTCATAATAAGGACTTTAGGCAGAATTTTTATTATGTTTCTTTGTTGAATAAATGTTTCTCTAGACAAGATAATATGAAAAGTGTTGTCATATGTCAATGTTAAGTAATTGCAAATTGTCTACATAAACATTTTTGGAGGGTCAAGATACTCCTTTCCATATTCATCTTCCTATGAATGGAAGGAGAAAATATTTTTTCCCTCAATATTTTGTTCCAAACCTCTTTTGTACATATTCTAATAAGAACTAAATAAAAAATAATTTCACAGGTTTATTTTTTCTTGCTTCTTTTTATAGCATTTCTATTTACAAAAGTTGCCAAGGCTCAAAGAAAATTCGACTTCAACACTTCTTCACTCCTGAAAAATCAACTGTTATGAGCTTAACATATATGTCTCAATACTTGTTCGCTGGCTTGGTAAATGGAAACATCTCAATCTACACAAAAGCAGAAGGTAATGTAGTGATATGATTTGATAACATCCTGAGGAACTCACATGTCAGTATATTTTGGCAGAAGTAGTTTTCCACTATTATATTTTCCGAAAATTCTCTGTAAAACTGCTGAACTAAGGTTACTACACTTTTCAGTACACTTTGTTTTTCTCTTTTTGAAGGACAGTATATACTTTGATACTGTTCCCACTTTCACCATACGATACACATGAAAACTAATTTGTGCCCCTTAGCTTAAACCCTGAGGGTCTTCAGTGTTACAAGAATCCAGAAGTTTATGAGGTAACAGACAGTATACTGTATTTTACACAGCACAATGCTCATTCCACTTGACTGCCCAGTATTGGTGTTTATGAAAGACAAAAAATCCCTATCAATAGAAATTCCTGTATATCTCATTTGAAATGACAATTCCATTTTTACTGTACAGATAGGAGAAGTCTTCCCTATGCGTGCGGCTCGTGTATTTCACAGTAGGACTCCTGCTTCCATTAGCATCACAGTTGGTTGTTTTGTCTCTAGCTGAGTAATTGGCTAAAATAATTTGAGTAAAGGAGAATCCCACGTGATACTTCTGAACCAGAACTATCTTCTCCACAGCTGGTTTGGGTGCTTCTCTGCGTACTTCCAGGATGTGTCACTAACTTTCCTGCAGTATTGCATACATATATGGTTAATTCAGTTCCAAATTAGTGAGGCTTTACTCAGACTGAAACCTGAGGTTTTAAGTGAGACGTTAGCACAGAGGCACCTAACCTTGCAAAGTGCAGAGCCAGCAGACATCGGGCGTACCTTGTTAGTGTGAGCTGTATAATGATGGTTGTCGTACTTCTTGCATGAGATGGGCCCTGTAAACAGTGCGGTTGCATTTGTGTGCATTACACCTTGGCTACTAAATCCTGCCAGCCTCTAACTGAGAAGCCAAGTTCAGTATCTTGAATCTTGAAACAAATTACATGTTGAGTGTTAGGTCACCTAAAGGCTTAGTTTGGAAATGGTACAGGATGCAATATTTTTTTTTTCAAGCAACAAAGAATCTGAAAAAAGTGTTGGGGAAAGAGATTTCCTTTCACCAGTTGTCATCTTCAACCCAGTGGGTTTCCTGTTGTTGTTTCTGATCTGAAGCCAGACATTAGATTTCAGTTCCCTTTAAATTTTTATTATTTTTTTTACCACTGAATAGCAGATTTTTCTTTGTTTTGGAGGCACAGGAGTGAGGCCTTGATCCTAGTCTCATAATATCATTTTTGATGGTTCAGTTTCTATATGTACCTGGGTGTGGTAGTAAAGTGAATCTGTTGTCTTCTCTGAAAGGGATTGGTATATTTAAGCTGTTTAAGACTGCAATTGCCATCACTCAAGTTCTTCCAGAAAAGACCACTTCAAAAACACAAGTGGCATCCTTGGCAGTATAGGTTAGAAAGGATGCATGGGTTGCATAGCTTCAGAGGATGTTAAGGACAGGGAAGAGCTGTTAACCAGACTGAATTATGTGAAGAGCCAGAGGTTATGTTGTATTGACCAGGATCATGGTGTCACTTGGTTATCTTACTCTGTCTGAAGACACCAGTTTTGTGCAGCTAGATATTCATAGAGCCTGTCACAGTCTATTTTAGGATCACTGAAGCTCTGAGATGGGAAATATACATTTACATTTTTCTGACTCATCTTGTAGTCCCTTTCCTTACAGTTTGGTCTGTGTGTGTTATTTCAGTTTTCAATGCCCCATGAAAGTTCTGTGAATCAGCTGCTCCCATGTTAGCTTTCATATTGCTTATAGTTGGCTGCTGTGGTCATGTGAGGCAGTCAGCCCTGGAGTGGTGTTTTTATGAGCAATGACCTATTTTACCAAACAAAGGAATCCCAGCGGTGAAACGGCAGGGAGGGGGAATGCAGCCTCCAAAGAGCGTTGTGTAATTCATCAGGGTCGCAGTCTGTTCTACAGAGGAGGTTACTTTGCAGCCATGCCTTTCAACTTGGGTTTTAGTCTATTGGCATAAAGGAGATTAAGGAAAGATTTAAAAGTGAGCATGAAATACGGTCACTACATTACAAGGCATCTTGATTTGAAGCCTGAGATGGACAAATGCTATGGAATGCACAGGTTAAATGGTTGTGCAGCCTTTTGTGGAACTCCATGAATTGAAAGGGGTAATCTTTCTTCTAGGATGAAAACCTACCTCACAGTCTCTATTAGAGCTGGGATCCTTGTTTCTTCCGCTATGGATAGAAAGTGTAGTGGATCAGTTCAGTCACTGAATCATAGAATCATAGAATGGTTTGGGTTGGAAGGGACCTGAAAGATCATCTAGTTCCAACCCCCCTGCCATGGGCAGGGACACCCTCCACTAGACCACGTTGCCCAAAGCCCCATCCAACCTGGCCTTGAACACTTCCAGGGAGGGGGCCTCCACAACTTCTCTGTGCAGCCTGTTCCAGTGCCTCACCACCCTCACAGTAAAGAATTTTTTCATTGTATCTAATCTAAAACTACCCTCCTTCAGTTTAAGCCCATTACCCCTTGTCCTATCACTACCTGCCCTTGTAAACAGTCCCTCTCCAGCTTTCCTGTAGGCCCCTTCAGGTACTGGAAGGCCGCAGTAAGGTCTCGGTGGAGCCTTCTCTTCTCCAGGCTGAACAACCCCAACTCTCAGCATGTCTTCATAGAAGAGGTGCTCCAGCTCTCTGAGCATCTTTGTGGCCCTCCTCTGCACTCGCTCCAACAGCAAGCTCAATGCCTTTATGTATGTAGTCAAAGACCCACGACTCCTGTCATTCGGTGTTCAGTTCCCAAATAGCTCTGATTTCTCCTGTTATTTTCAGATGGCTCAATGCATGTAAGTATCTAGCTTGTTTAGAAACAGCAAGTACTTCCTCCTGATTTTCTTCACAAGAGAACTTTGTCAGATCAACAGCATCCAGAGCACTTTCTGGCTGCAGAAAGTCTTGTCTTGAAGTAATTTAAAATGGAAACTAAGAAGTATGTATAGTAAACCAAGGAACACGTGCCACGTTAGTGGTAGAGTTGAAGGTGCGCAGTGAGACTTCCCTTATGGAGGGTAGTCGTGTTTTACTGAGACATTTCTATATCTGTGTCTTTTCACTTATGAGTTAAAAAGTACTTGAGCTTGAATGCATTTGAACATAAATTAAAAGCAAAGTCAATGGGGCACTTGATATCGTAAAATCTACTGGGTTCTTAAATGTGAGCTAATGTGGTGATCTGTGAAAATGTCACAGAAAGACTAGCATGTAGGTCAGCTAATTTGTTAATTCTAAAAATAGGAGCCCTAATAATTGTCCTTAATAATCCTTAATTTTACGTGGGTGAGAAGACTAGTTTGGGGAACCATGCAACAGCTAATGCATTAAATGCTCTTATATGTAGGAATGGTAGCGATGCAGATTGTAAAGGTTTCTGACACCTTGTGTGTTGGGAACTTGTTTACAGTGCTATTAACTTTTGCACAGTTATCAGTTTGAAATATTGTGTATGTAGCATTTGTCTCAGGCCGAATTATTAGGAGTATTTCCAGGCAAAACACTTGTAGATGAGGTTAAGGAAAAAGTACATTGTATTGTCTTTGTTTGAAAAACATAACAAAACCCCTTTGTGATGATTCCAGACAGCCCAGCAGATGTGTTTTCTGAGTGATGTAATAGCAAAAAAGGTCAGCATGTGTTTGACTTTCATTCACAAAAGTATCTTAGGAAAGGGAAATCACAATCTTTATATAACATAGGTGTATTGTTCCTGATACACTCTAGCCAGTTCCAGCTACTTCCTTTCTTCTAGACATTGATATACATTTCCTTTCCATAAAGTCCTATAAAGAGCATGGAGAGAAACAGGAAAAAGAAAAACTCAGAATGATTGTGGCAAAGAGTAGAAGAATTAATATATTAGTAGTTTCAGAAAGAGTTTGGTTAAGATGAGCAAATCAATGCCCAAAAAAGACATGCTGCTTTCATAGCAATGCCTGTCGTTTTGGCACATGATTGGTATGTGTAGCCTTTCACTTGTGTGTACAGCACCCACAGCAGCCCTCGGACACTCACCTCTAGAATTAAATTCACAACGCTTGGCATGTTTGGTGATCCTTCCCCTCTCCTCAGCACTGGTGAGGCCACACTGGGAGGGTTGGATCTGGTTTCTGGGCTCCTCAGTACAAGAGAGACATGGACATACTGGAGAGTGTCCAGCATGGGGCCATTCAGATGATGAAGGGACTGGAGCATCTCTCCTGTGAGGAAAGGCTGAGAGAGCTGGGACTGTTCAGTTTGGAGAAGAGAAGGCTCAGAGCTGACATCATCAACATCGATAAATACCTGAGGGGAGGGTGCAAAGAGAGTAGAACCAGGCTCTTTTCAGCGGTGCCCGGTGACAGGCCCAGAGGCTGTGGGCACAA